TGGACACTCCTTCGATTACATACTTTTAAATAACTAAATTGGATGAAAATGTAAGAAGAAAGAAAGAGAATTTCACAAAGAAAAAAAATTTTTTTTTCACTCATTCCGAAAATGAATTTTTCAAGTCTTAGTATTTGTTGCATCAATCTTTTCCATTGCTGTCGCATTTTTTTTCTTTCATCAATGCTCTGCCTAAAAGCTGAACACAGCCTTGTAGTTAGTTTTAGCAAAAATATTCGTTCCATGAAATTTGGATGACAAGATAAACAGAAAATTGATTATGTAGCAAAGAAAAAGGAAACGAAAGAACATTTCTTTTTTTTTCGAAGTATTGAAAAATTTGATAAAATTAAAAGCTAGTATAAGAAAAAGCATTAACAAATTTATTATATTAATGTATGAGGGAGGAAATTTTAGTTTTTTCTCTTTGGTTTTTTTCTTTTGCAAATTTTAAATTAATTATTGATCAGTTTTTTGTGTTATTGGAAAAAATTTTTATATAGTTTTTCTAAAGAGACAAAATTTTTTACGTAAAAAATTTAAATGGTCGGTTTATAAAATTGCAAATAAAAAAGAAAAAGGTGAAGTGTTATAGCATTTCTTCCACTAGGAGTGTAATAATTTATAAAAGGAAAAGTAATGATGAATGGGAAGGAAATGAATGTATCGTCGATCCAGTTTCCATCCGGTCCTTCATCAGGAATACCGTTTTTTTTAAAAAGTAAGCTAAGATGAATGATAATTTCATTCCTTTTGCAGGCACACACACACACACACACACACGCACGCACACACACAAACACGCGCGCACAGTACAATATTTATTGCTTCCATCATTTGGCAATGACAAAATTTTTTTTTTGTTTAATTTTTTAATTGAAAATAGCTTAGAAATGAAAACCAGTCATTTATATAATATGTGCTTTTGGGTATATTTACAATTTTCAATGAGCGAAAACTTAAAAATGTCCTTTTTTTTCATAGCACTCAGAGTGTTCAAATTATTTCAAGTTTAATTTTAACCTTCTCAACAAGAATAACTTTTAGCAACTGCTCGTTTTGTTTCTATCATTTCCTTCCTAATTTCTTTTTTATTAAAAACTTTTTCATTACTGTTTGAACACACTTTTTCACTTATTTAATTATTAACTATTGAAATTATAATTTCCACGTGAATAGCAAAATGATCAGAGAGTGAAGGTGTGTAAATTGAAAATTTAATGGAAATGTTCCATGAAATTTAACTATATTGATAGAGTGAAATGGAATTGAAATAGTTGAGAAGTGTCAAAATATTTCCACTGAGGACATTGCTATGGAAGATTTCAAAAAAGTTTAAAAAAAAAGACTTGTGAGCAATAAGAAAGCAAAGGAAAAGTGAAATAGATCGTTGCCTTCCTGTGTGGTAAAAGCTTGAAAGAGTAATAAGGCTTTTGGAAAAGGTCCTGAATTGACTAGGCTCTTTATACTGTCTTAAAATATATTCGCCACATTTAGCTTCACTGGAGTACTTTCTTCCACTGATATTTTTTCGTTGCTTTTTTTTTTGATGAAATTTAAGCAAATTTTGACTAACAAAAATTTCTGTTAAATTTCACTTTTTGCTTTTATTTGTTATCTTAAAACATTTTTTTTGCATTGGCCCTTTTTCTTTATTCTTGCTAAAAGGAGTATTTAAGAATGAGCAATTTGGATTTTGATCTTATCATAGATTGATATGTACAGGTAGGTGATTGATTGTTTTGAAGGTAACATCTTGATAACTTATTTAACCTTCCATTCCTCATCACATTTCTTACCCAAATCAGATAGCATCTGTACTTCATTCATCAATAATTAGTTATTTCTTTACTGTAATCTTCGTCGGGAGGGTATGGTGAAAGGATTATGTATAGTAATGGGTAATTGGAATGGAATGCGCATTTATGTCTGCATGGACTGTAATTGAGATGCCCTTTTGTCGATGGAGTAAAATTGTTAGGGAAATGAGAGCTTATCAATGATCGGATCTATCTATCACCAATTTCACTTTTGTGGTCTCTGTCCCAAGATTTATCATTGCTTTGCTTACCCTCAAATGTCCTCCAAAATAACCGCCTACTTTGCTCATTCCTTACCAATGACCTTAGATAACCTTATCATTGTTAGTTAAGATGGTGGAAATTAAATTTTATCAAAAAATTATCTATAAATAGTGATGGATTTCTTTATGGTAAAGTAATGGATAAGATTGAAATCACATAAATTATCATTGCATTTAACGATAATTTATTCCAACTATTTTTTTTAATATTTACAATTAAGCTGTATGGTTCAAATTTTTCTTACTATCAAAGAAAATTTTCGCTATCATATATATTGCTACAGTGCAATTAGTTTTTTAAATATTTTCTAAAACTGAAATGTATTAAAATTTAAGTTCAAAATGATTGCAATGAAAAATTGTATTATTTTAAGGAATTTTTTTCATTTATTTTTTCATTTATTTTTCAATTTTTTCAGTTTCCATTTATTTTTCAGTGCTAATTAATTTATTCTTGACCATATTATTACTATCTATTTATATATTATTAATTTCGGAAATCATTTCACATAAACTAGAAATAAAACTTTTTATATAAGTTTAATTTATGATAAAAAAGATAGGATACTGTTTGTTGTGATCTGTTGTTTTATAGTATTTGAGCTGAAACGCATTTATTTCAAGTCAAGAATAAACCTTAAAAATGTTATTGTTCTTCAATCATTGATCTAAATGATTGACCAGTCCTTTATCATTGATATGATCTCAGAATGCAACTTTTGATATCTTCCTATAATGTTGTAATTAATAAACCCTAAAAATGTTTTGTTCTTCAACCATTGATCTAAATGATTGAACCATAACTTAATCAGTGGAGAGATTAAAATTAATTGTTAAATGATGCTTATCAAAAGATATATTTTATTTGAAATATACTAATTTCATTTTCCTGTACTACATATATTAAATATCCGGATGATTCTAATATCTGATATGCTTTTAAATACAAAAAACAATATCAGATTAAAAAATGGAAATGCTTTTCGTTTTTGCATTGTTAACCAGAAATTATCCGGATTTACTCTCTCTCTCTCTCTCTTTCCCTCTCTCTCCCTCCTTCTTTCCCTCATTCCTTTGCTTCCCTCTCAAACACATATTATTGTCAAACATTAATTCATAATATGGTATGTTTTTTCATGAAAACCAAAATTATTTTTTATTAGATATCAAGTTCGTCTAAAAATGCAAAATACGCATGAATGCTCAATTATTTCATCATTTTTAATAGAATATTTAGAGATTTTTAAGGACAGCCAAATCTTTCAATATTACTTTAAAAATGGTGTCATCCATTAATTTAGTTGCTGCAAATTAATCTAATAAAAATTCTTTCAAAAAAATTATCCATTAAAAATTTTTCTCTTCTTTTAACAGATCATACATGGCATATGATTAAAATGTTTACATGCCATTTTTAACGAGCTTTTTGTTCATTAAAATTTAAAAATTTTTTGCGCAATGCAAACCAATACCAATAATAAAGCGTGAAAATTTGATAAATTCAAGCTTCGCTTGAATAGTTATAATTGATAAAATTGAACGAATCAAATATTCATCTTCAGTTGTCTTATCGCTCTCAAATCTTGAATAATTCAAAGGAATCTTTAGATTTATATCAATTTTATGCCTTACCAACTTCTATTTCCAAAAGTGAAAAGCGTTAATTAAGAGATAACGATATTGACATATATGATTTTATAATTAACTTTCTATAAGATACTTGAAAATTTCAGCCTAAATCAAATTTTATGGCTTATGTTCAAAATTGATCTGATACCAAAGTTCACCACATTTTATTACTAATCTTTCACCGACCATTTATTTCATTTTTCTTTTTCAAAAGATTTTCATTTATAATATCGTTTCCTTCTCCAAAAGGTTAAAATGTCGTGAATTCATTATATAGAAGAGATTGTATAATCGATTACTAATATATTCATTATTTAAATAATCACTACTAAAAAGCTCTATTTCACTAGCATTTCGAGAAAAGCTTCAGGTTGTACTACTCAGAAACTTTTAATAATGTATGATAAGAGAGAAGAAGAAAGTGGCGTGATGCTTCTTCCTTCGGTCATTTCAGCGGTTATCAGTAATGCAATGATAATAAACATAATTTGTCCTAAAATATCACTTGCGATAATTTCTTGTTGATTTTCAGAACTATATGCTTTAAAATATTATTTATCAAATTAATTCAATTGTCGGTAAATTTTTCATTTTGTATTACTTGTACGATTTTATCCGTTATTACAATATTTTGTTGACTTTTTCTTCCCACTTTGCTGCATGGTAAAGGAAAACATAAAGAGATTAAAATATGATGAAAAATCAATCCTTCATAGCAATAAAAAATGATTTTTAAACTAATAATATGTATGAAAATTTTTTTCAAAATAATCAAATAAAGTTTGATTTGATTGGCTGACGTTATTTAGGTAAAAGTAATGAAATCTAATTATTAAATTAATATCTCATCTTCTTTAAGAATTCATTATAAATGTGTTGCATCATTCTTTGATTTTGTCATTTTTGATCGTTAGTTGGAGTTCTTTTTTCTTTCTTTTTCCTGCAACTAATTTCAGTTAAAATATTGATGTAATTTAAAATTTTCTTCATTGAAGTTATTTTGTTTATTTATGCATATGAATGATTTGTTTTCATTGTTTTCAAACTTTTTGAATATTATGAAGCATAAGTAAGAGAAGGAGCGGTATCATCTGAATTGTTTCAAGAAATGTGATGCAATAAATCAATGATACTATTTCGTTTTCCTAAATGCTCTATTTTGCGCCATTTTAATGATCTTAATTTACTAGGAAATTTTTATGGTAATAGAGAAAAGATGCGACGAAAACGCTGAACTGAAATTTGCTAAATTTTATTGTAACGAAGGAACATCGACCAGGTTGGCACAATGATGCAGATTGAACAGCAATATCTCAATTTGAACGATGTTCGAATGGTAATTTCAATTTTCCTGATAATTTAATCAAATTATTAAAATTTGATTTATTTTTGTCATTTAGACATCTTTTTTTTTTACAACATTTCATCGTTTCCAAGATTAAAATGATTTGCCAAAACGAAATTTGAACATTTTATCATCATTTATTTAGTAATTCTTTAAAAGAATATTTGCTATAAGTCTTAATTTTTATTTATTTCTTTCAAAAAAATATTAGCAACTCTAAGATTAAAATTTCTTCTATGACTAACTAAGTCAGAATGTTCGGCAGCTATTGCATCATTTGACTAAATGACAATTTGAAAAAGAAGAATTGAAGTCCACCAATTAATTTGAATGTTTGTAAAACAAAAAAAAATTGTTGAGAAAATATTTTTTTTATTGATTTCTATCGTTGAAAAAGACAAATTTATCAGAATGTTTTTTTTTAAATGCTTTTAAAAAAATAAAAAAAAAACAAACAACTAAATCAATGCTTACTTATACTTATATGTTACAGAGTCAACAAACGGAAGGAACTGTACCTCCACCGCCGGTTGTAATTTGTCCAACGGAAGTGGACAATGTTAATATAACTTTAGAGAAGAATCAGCAATGTGCATGCAAAGATTGTGGCAAATTGTTTAACTCTGTATGGTACCTTAAACAGCATGCCGTAAAGCATTCCAATGATCGACCGTTCAGATGCAAATTTTGCTATAAGGTTCATTCATTCATTCATCTTTCCATAAATCGGTAGCTTATTTTGCATCAATAAAAGTGATCTATGAAAAAGATAAACAAATCTATGATAAGTATAAAGTTGATCTATGATGAGGATAAATAGATCTATGATAAGCATAAAATTAATCTGTGATAAGAATAAAAAAATCTATGGTAAGCATAAAATTGATCTTTAGGATAAACAAAGTATGCATAAAGTTGATCTAGACTATGTATAAAATTGATCTATGATAAGAATAAACAAAGCTATGAGAAGGATCAAATAAGAATAAAAAATCTATAGTAAGCAATAAATTTGATCTATGGTAAGCATAAAGTTGATCTATGATAAGGATAAACATATCATTCTTACTGTTTATACAATTTAATCTATACGACGGTTCGACGAACAATTCCTGTTTTATTCTTATTGAAGTAAATATTCATTTCATTTATTATTGAATTGGGTGATTTATATTTGCGATTGCAAAGTTTATTTTTTATTAAGTACAAAAAATTTTCAAATTCACCGTTTCAACGTTTAACCTTATTACATTAGCTGTATATACAAAAATCTGAGTTGATGATGAAGAGGAGATCAAATATATTTGAGATGTGAATGATTTATTTGTAATTTAAATTTAATTAATTGTAAATTATACTAGATTATCATGATTATCAAAAAGGATACAATGAATTAGGAAATGAAATCTGCGTGGATTTTTGTGATAGAATGAAAAAATAGGCTAAATGGTATTATTAGGTTGTCATTAATTAAATGATGTACTATCACAAAATAAATAGGCGTGTTAAGGGGTGATAGTTAAGTGGAAAGAGACGGGTTGATACGATCACAATGGAAGTTAGGTATGAAAAAAAAGTTACTGCATTATCAATTCTGTTCGTAATTTCCCATTTTCATTCTTTTTTTTTTATTAATTTTTAAGCTCTATAAATTTATTCATAATATACACATGTGATAATAATTTATCTAATATAGTTTTGCATTTTAATATTTACAATTTTTATCTTGCATTTTTTTTCCTTTAATTCAATATGCTTTCACAATAAATAAATGTTAAAACTGATTCTTTTAGAATGAAATTTACACTATTATCAATCCATTATATCGTTCCTTTTAAATTGATCCTTTTCTCTTGATATTATTGATTGTTGATTTTTTTTAAAGGAAAAAAGTTGTCAAATTTCTTTTCTTTCTTTTTTTCAGACATACAAATTTCGTTCAAATCTTTACCAGCATAAATGTCCAGATCGTACCAAAAATGGCAATTTGTTAGTTTTGCTGAATTTTGTTTCCTTTTTCATCAACCTGTTTTTCTTCCTATTCTTCTTTTCTTTTCTTTTCCTTTCCTTTCCTTTCTTTTTTTTTTTTGTTTTTCAAGAAAGTTATGCGTTTTGTTTGCAGACCATTTAACAGACGTTTGATGTATCGTTTAACAGTGAATCAGTCGCATCTCTTCGATACACGAGAATTGTCGTTGCAGCAAACACCGGAAAGGATTGCTCCAACCGATTTTGGCCATTTTTTAAGGTCTTTTTGAATTTTTCTTTTCCAAGGATGAAAATCAAATATTTCGATCACTGTCAGTGTGACATTTGCTTTTCTGAAACTTTTTTCAAGAGAAAAGATTACAATCTACGCTTTTCTTTTTTCATTTAAAATCTTAAAAATTTTGAATTTAAATTCGACTCATTTCAGTTTAATATTTGATTACATATAATACATTCATTTGGGTATTTCCTTATTTTTATAAAAAGAATGGTTTTTTGTTTTTGCAGTAATCGGCCAAATATTACCCTTCCAATTGCGCCAATCGAGCAACATACTGAACCAACTGATGTTGCAATTGAAGCAATTACATCAGAAGCATTGATAGTGAAGCAACAAGCCGAAGTACGCGAGACGATTGCGCTAAAGCGACATTTAAAGCAAGCTGTTATCGATAACTATTTGCAAAAGAATAAGCATAAGGTAACAGCTGAAACAATAAATGAAAATGATTTATTATCTGATATTCTTTTATTTTTAAATAATTTAAAAAAAATGCATTTATTTAAAATATTATGTATAAATAAAGAGTATGCATTAAGTTTGATATGATTATTTAAATTTACGAATTTATTAAGTTATCAATGAATACTTATCACTTCAGTATATTATTTTGATCAGTGTTTTTTCTCGATTATTTTTTGAAAATAAACATCGTGGAAATTTAACAAATAATGAAAGTATTACCGAAAAATGTGCTAACATTTAGTTATACCAATGTCGCAAATGCAAATTACAATTTCCGACACGCGGTTATCTGACTCGACATATTGCTCAACACAACGAATTGGAACAAATACCAATGCAGTGTGAACTCTGTCCACAGCGATTTTCTCTCGATACGGAATTGAGGAAGCATGCGGAATTACATTCCAGAGATTCCGGGATAACTTGCGCAAGATGTTGCGCACCTTTTAGGTACATAAATATTTAGATGATTTCAAAATTTAAACAGAGCTATCCAATTCGAAATTTCATTCATTTTTTTTACAGGTCAATGTTGGCATTACGGCGACATCGAAATCAATCTCGACAATGTATATCATCATTTAGTAGCTTCAACAATCAAACTATCGTATGTTTTTGCATTTTCTGTTATCAGACAATATCATAATGAAAATCTGGGCTGTACACCCTCAATAAATAATAATTAATAAGATCTCCTAGAAGTTATTCGAGAGTTATTAATTGTAGTAAGGATAAATGCTATACTGCAAACGAAGCACGCTGATCTTATAATCATTGGTCAAATTAAACGGAAAATGCAATTCCTATAATATCAATCAAGCATTCGCATTGCATTGCTAGCAAATATGCTTTTCACATTAGCTATACACACTGCAAGATTGCTTGCAATACCTACAAGTATCATAAAATTTTTTTTAATAGTATTTTCAACTGTGAGTTATAAACTTGAAATCTATTAATTAAAATTTTTTTCAAGTTAGAGAAAACCAATACTATTATAGTTACAAGAACTCTAACAAAAACAATAGGTGAAATTACAGGATGAGTATGCATACATTGATGCGGTTGAAGCGGAAGCGCAAATGAGTTCTCATACAGCAGCAGCAGCAGCAGCAGCAACCGTAACTGATAATTTTAGCGAAGAAAGATCATTCGTTACAAATGATAAGAATGGCGATTGCGGTAGTGCGAGTAGCAGCGCTGATTGTTATCAACATTTCTCATCTAATCGAATCAGGTACAAATCATTCCACTTCATTGTATTTCATTTTGTAATAACATTGAATTGTTTAAAAAATTGTCAATTGGAATGATAATGTATGCATCATTTGATGGATTATAAATATGAATAATTCAGATATAAATAATTCAGACCAGAAGGTCATAGTAGTGAAAATGATACATCAATCTGTGAAAATGGATCAAAACGAACGATTACAACGGTGAAAATTAAGCTTGGTTCAACATCTATTGTTTCAATAATGAAAAAGGATGATAGTGATAATGATGATAAGCAATCACTGAACAAGGATAGAATATTATATCCAGGTTTCCATTCATTTTACTTACTTTCCACAAAATGTTACCTTAATTTCTCATATTCAATCTTCAATATTTTACCTTCATTTTTTTTATATTACAAATATGATAGGAATTCACTAACAAACCATGCTTATTGAATATTTCAATGATCAAAACTACACTTCAAAGGCTTTTTTTTGAATGGGTTTTATCATCTAAAACTAGCAATTCCAAGCATAAATAGCCTAATCTGGATAAAACTAAATGATTTGATACTTAATACTGGAATACGTGAAAAAAATTGGACCGTCGGAATAACATAAAATTATGTAAATATTTGTTCTTATACAAAAATTTAACCAATAAAATAACTTTTTGATAAGAAAAATTCTGACAATTTAGAAAAAAAAAGTAGAGAAAAAAATTCCTTTTTGAAATACATTATGATTGCGTTAATATCATAAAAGCATTAAGATTTGATTAAACTTATTTTTTATAGGTCAAAATTTTTTTCTCATGCAAAACTGATAATTAGTAATTAAAATAGATCAATTAAATAATTAGTATTTGAGAGTGTATTAGTGTTCATGCGAATTTTTCTTTATTGTACAGAACTAAATAATATGGAAGCAACAAATTCGGAAGTGATATTGGAAGAGGAACCAAAAAGGCAAGTAACACAGGGTAGCAGCACTTCTCATATTTCAAGAAATCGCTATAGCAGTTATATTAGTTCAGATCGGATTATTAGCAGTCATCATTCAGGTACACCGGAATTATGCTTTTTTTTTTAAGAAATTTTTTTTTTAAAATAAATCGGAATGAGAATCAGATATTTGAAGTAAAGAGTAACTATTAAAGCAGGAAGGATTGTTACTGTTCATTTGGCATATTTAATTCTCATTCCTTACAATTAAATTCATCCAGCTAACATAATAATAGCAGAATTTTCTTTTGTCACAGTCCTTTTTGCCAAATTTTTGTTAGCAGAAATAAAGCTTTTTTTTTTATTCACACTTTAAATTCACAGAATTGTTTAACAAACATACAAAAATGATAGGTTTTGTTGGATAAGATGGTATATAAATGCTCTTATTACACGCAAAAAATGAAAAAAAAAATAGTGAAAAAAAAGTTAAATAAACACTTTCTGACGGCTTTGCTTCATACATTTCTAAACAAAAAAAAATTACGATAAACGAAAAATATAAAGTTTAAAAAAGAAAACTAAGAAAAAAAGTTGGAATATTTATAGGAATGAGTGGCGGTAGCAGTAGCAATAGTAGTATTAGTGGTGGTGGTGGTGGTGGTGGCAATAATGCTACCAGTAATAATACACAACGAAATGGTAGTAGTAATGATGGTGAATCGAATTTTACCACTTCTACATTCGATGGTTTTCTGTCAAGTAATGCTGGCAATGATGTTTATGATAGTTTGATGCTAGAAGGTGGTCGACCGCTCATTTTACATTCCCATGTACATGCTACCAAAGGTTTCATTTTCATTCTTGATGGATATTCTATAAAATGGATGAATTATTTCATTTTGATGTCAATTTTTTTTTATTTTAGTTTATTCAAATTTTTTATTTTTCTTTTTAACAATTTTATTTTCTAACATCTATAAATGTGCTAAAATATGCTGTCATAATGAAGGTTGGAAAATAAATTTAATAATTTTTATGAAATTTTAAAGAAATATTACAGAAATTTTAATAATAAGAATATTTATTGTACTAATTATTGGAAAGTTGTTTACTAATCATTAATTGCTGAAAGTTAAATTTTCGTTTAAACAAAAAGTATTTGATAAATAGAATTCCATATTTTACATTCATTTAATTTGTTTCACTCAAAAATTCCATACTATTCAATTGAATAGTTCATCTATAATCTTCCAAATTATTTCAAATCACATTAAAATAGAATAGATCACATGCACCATAACTGAATAACTAAATATAGTAATTAAATAACTGAAATTGGAACTTAATGCATAAATTTGTCGGTAGATAATTACATGAAATAACATTTGATGTATTACTGATTGGATATGCATAACCGTAAGTGCAAGTAAACTGAGAAATTTTTTTCTGAGACAATTTTTATTTTATAACTGACAGATTAAAGTTGCAAAAAAGTATATACATATACATTGAAGGTATTTTCTCGAAAGTAACGCAATTTTTCAGTTGAAGTTCTATCCGAGCCGGTTGTTGATTTGATCGGTTATACGACTCAATCAATCCGTGATGAAATTACCCTTTGTGAAACACTCTTTACTGTACGAACACACTTTCTAAGGTTCTTGCAGTATTTTTTATCGTTTCTTTTATTGGGATATTTACACTACCGTTATTATGTACGGTAAAGAAAAATTCGGAAAAAAAGTTGATCATCCGGTTTACTATTAGTGTAATAAATTCAGGAATAATTATAATTGTTAGATATATTGCCGCAGCTTTTGTCGATTTACTGTACTGTCGTATATTAATTGAGCTAATTACTGTATCCAACCAACTCGCTAGAATATGAATAATTTTGCTTAGAGAATTATCGAACTGTTACAGTATGCTATTTTTTTCTAATATTACACTGATAATTTATTAGAGATGTTAACAAAGATAATTAGTATTTTTTCATTTCATTTGCTTATCTCTTTTCAATTCATCCTGCAACAGAGAAATTTTTTTTTTTTAATGAAAATATAAAAATAAAAAATTTTTTCAGGAAAATTGCTGTATATATTGTTTATATAACAGTACTACAAACTGTGGAATTTTTCGATTCAATTTGTGGTTTGTTTTTTTCGTAAAACAAGAAAAATAGTTTACAGAATTTTACCGAAAAATTTTCCCAACCTCAATTACAGTCATTTAATTTATATGAAATTTATTGCTTTAAATTCTAGTTGAAAGTTGAAAGAGGGAGAGAGAGAATGGGAAAGGGAAAAAGATAATTGAATTGGGATTTCAAAACAATATCATCATTCTCATAATCATTAGGCAATTCGAAAGGATCGCTTTTGTCTGGTCTATTTGATTGAATAACATTTAAAAGTTTAATCATCAACCGGTTTAAAATTTTAATTCATCAAAATATCTTTTAATGCATATTACATCAACAATGGCAATCAGTATAAAATGTTATTTACTGACGAAGAATTTTTTTTTTAAAAAAAAAATAACACATTCTTAAGTGGAAGGGAGCGACGAACGACATAGGCTGGCAGTATGGCAATGACAACCACGACAATTTCAAGTGTTCTAAAACTGATCAGCGCTTTTTTTGCAACTCTTCTAAAAGAGCACTTCAATAAGGCACAGACACACAGACACACACACACACACACACACACACACACACACACACACACGTACACACTCTCCTTTGCCATCCAATAAATACATTAACTTTTTTATGAATATGTTTTTATGTGTGCATATGTGTGTGTGTACATGTAAATGTGTGTATGTGTATGTATGTTTGTTATAATGTCCACATGCATGTTAATGTATGTGGAAATATGTTCAGGATATTTACTTCTTGATGTTAATTTATTTGTATGTATATATGTGTGTGTCTGTATGAGTGTGTGTGTGTGTGTGTGTGTGTGTGTGGGTGGGTGTATGTGTGTCGATTTATGTCAAACTTTTGTCCTTTAATTTGTCTTATTAAATTTTTTGACTGGCATCTTTTGCTGCTGTCCAGTTTTTAAACCACTTTCAACTCAATTTAACAGTCAGAAATTTTTTTTAAAATTTTTTTTAGTTGTTTTAAGTAAATATATACGCACATACGCATCAATACAGTACACACACCCACACAAACACACACACACACACACTCATACATACCTAATTCTTTTAATCAGCGATATTGAAGCCATCAATTCCACTCAACTGAAGTACTTAGACAGAGGGTGTTCCGCTCTTTTCCCTTCAAATCTCATTGAAAAGGTTGAAAGTTTCGATCTATTATTGGCTTTCTTTCTCTCTCTCTCCCTCTCTTTCTCCCTCTCTTCCTTTCATTCTATATGTATAACTTTATCAACATTGTCTCATATTCATTTTATCTATTAACATTTTATAAGTTCGAATGGACAAAATTTCAACATGTTATGCAATATTCTGCTTCATAAAATAAAATTATGCTTTAAAAATATCGATAAATTTTGACAACCAATTTTGAAGAATAATCTTTTTTGAGAGAAACTTCAATAACTGAAATATTTTCCATTGAATCATAACAGTTAATTCTGGATTGAGTAAAAATCCTTCTTCGGGAAAAGTCCAAATTGTTGGAATATGTGGAGGAGAAGGAAAAAAAAACTCTCTAAATATTTTTCTCTTTTTTTCTTCCTAGGGCAACATTTTTTTTTTAATCTATATATTTTTGAACTTTTTTCAATTTTTTTTCGAATTTTTTGAGAAATTTTACCTATTATTGATCTATTTAAAAAATGTGAATACAATAGAATTCAAATTAGGTTCGATTTTTTAATTTTCCTAAGTTCGGCTAACTTTCTTCATCTCAATATCGGCTGATCATAGAAGTTGAAAAGATTGCTGTGTAAGGGGATAGTTCAGGAATTAATCGTTTTTATACGTATTAAATAGATGGGCTATTTTTTCTCAGTTTATTTTTTGCTCTTTGCTGGCATTAATCGAGATTTGAACGGATTTAGATGATTTGATTCATTTTTAGAATTTTTATTTTGATTTATTTTAAACGTCCTCGCTTTCATCTATTATTTCTTCTTTGTATTCTCATCCCCTTCTTTTCTTTCTCTCTCCCTCTCTCTCTCTCTCTTTCACTCTTGCTTATTCTTCCTGCTTCAGTTTTTTTTTTTAAACTTATATTTTCCAATTTCAACCGCAAACAATTCATCACATACAGAGAAATTGTTTGGTATTCCAAGAAAGGAAGAGAGAACGAAAAATTCCACCCATACCGGGTTTTTTTCAATTTTTGAAAACTTTTTTGACATCAGAATCAAATCAATTCTTTTAAATTTGATTATCCGGAAATTTTCAAACTAAAATATTTATTAGCATTGGTTTTATTTTTGAAATAATTTTCTAGAATTAGATAAATTTTTTTTTGGAAAGAATATTGTACTTTTTGACATTTCTAAAATTTCTGTCTTTTCGCACCATTGGTAGTGATAAGATCTGAAATGAAAACGAATTTAAGTAAATTTTCGGGAGATGAAAGATTTAATGAGAATTATTACTGTTATTCGACATATTTCTTCGATAAATAATATGATTGAAAATATTGACAAAAATAGAAATTGTAATTAACACCATTTGGGAATAATTATATAGCTATCATTTATAATTAAACAAATAATAACATTATCACTTCTATTATTTCATATCAAATGATAATTTCAATTCTAACATTTCTGAATGTCATTGGTATAAATGTTTGATGACAGGTCAGGTTGATGACAAATTTTTTATGCCAATCTTATTCGATAAAAATGCAAAACAGTTATTGATTATCGCATTTGTCAGCTCACCTCACTCTCTTCACCTCTCTTCGATGGCATATGTCATCGCTTGCTATTATATGTGAAATAGCTGTCATTTCCTTTTGAAGTGATAGTGTTGAAACTTGTAAATTCTTAATTTTCTGTTTTCTTTGTCTTTTTTTCTATTGTTACATCGATAATATGTAACATAAAAGCAATTGATAGCATGAATCTTCTAATAAAATTCAATTAAATTGAAGAATATCGAATGCATATTACTAATTAATGTTATAATTTAGTGGTTCAGAGCTTTTAGATTAATTTCGGAATTTCATTGAAAAAAAATAAAATCATTTCTGTCATTTCTAAAATAACTTTGAAATATTTACAAATGAAAAAAAAAAGCTTATCATTTGAGAGTTATTGCTATTATATTTTAAAGTTTATTCAACGATTATGCAATAAATGTTACCTTTTTTTGATTTCATTAACAATAAAAATTCACATTTATTGCATTAAATTGCATTTTTTCTTGTCACTATGAAAAGATAAATTTTTTTTCGCCCTTTAAAAAAAGTTAGAATAAAAATTTTTCAATATTATTTGTTTTTTTGCTTCCATTCTGACATTTATTGGTATGTTGAGTGGGCATCGTTTATCATTTCTCCCATTCTTTCTCTCTCTCCCTCTCTCTCTCTCTCTCTCTCTCAATTATTTTTTTCCATTTGATTCCTTAATGTTTGGCAAACTTTTAAAATGGTAGTCTTCCAAGCCATCTAACAATCCTTTTTTTTTTTCTAAATTTAATTCTAATAATGCAACTATTCTTAAGTTCCTTCCCATTTCCTTCCAATATTGTTATCAATTTTGTTAACATTTGCAACTATCATATCACACTTATTCTTGCATTTCTTATCTTTACAGCTATTGATTCCTTTTTAACTATTATTATAGTCATTATGGATTTAAAAAAAGAAATAAACTTTACTATTCTAGCATATACAATTTAGTGAAGAATGATTTGTACGATATCAAATAATATTCAATATTTTAAAAATGTAAAATCGATAAGTAATTGATATTGCTGCAGAGCTAAATTCTAAATAAAACCTGAATACTTTTAATTCTGAAATGATTATATAGACTTTTTCAAGTGTAACATTCTCTTCAGTATTTCAGTATACAATCTTAAAATGTTAGAGAAAGAATTGCAAAGATAATAGAATTTGCAAAATTATTTTAATTTGTACGGAATGATAAGAGAATAAGTAAAGAAAGAATGTTGGAGTGCTAAAATTTCAACGTAATTTTTCATCCGTAAAAAAAAACAAAACATGGAAGAATTTCGAAGAAATAAACGAAGCTGTTCACATTCATTCCTGTGATCTCTTTCTCAGTTGCACTTTATCGATAATGATAAAGTGATTTCAAATTTTGTTAATTTTCTTTTTGCTTTGATAAAATAAATATCCAAGAATTAGCAATTATCAGTCGAAATAATAACCAATTGCTTGGCTTATCAATTCATTCCTTCCTTTACTCTCAAAACTTTCACATTATATCTTTTCTCATCTTTATTAACTAATCGAACTGATTAGATCAAATCTAACAAATACATAATTTCACTTCGTTTCAATTGATAATAATAAAATGGTGCAACAATTTAATCCTTTATCAGATATGCGGCATAAGCTAACGATGTCAACGAGTGCTGAGAAATGCAGATTGAAGAGATTTAAAAATTTTTTAGGTCAAAGTTCCAAATTTCAACTTATGATATATAAATTATTTTAATTGACGTGTAAAGTTGTTACTTATGAAGTTCTAATTAAAGTTCGACACTAAAAATTGCGAATAATGCAATTGCAATGTTAAAGCTAGATCTTTCTTCACTCATTAAAAATGCAAAATTTTGATATGATATGAAGTAGCGTATTATTCGAGCAATATGTAATATAATCCTCTTTAAGGCAATTATTAATTTTTAAGATTAATTTTGATTGTATTCATCACGAAAAATTTTGTTGTTTCCATTTGCCGTTTATGTGAAATGGACGATATTTATAATTAAACAGCAACATTTTAATTCTTCCATTTACTATTTAATATTGTACAATTATTACATCTTAATTTTTGTAATTTTACAGGAAAGAAAAAGTTAAACCGGAATTTGTTAGGTGTCGCTGCTTCGGCAGCAGCACAATCAACATCGACTGCAAATCACTTGAAAATAACACAGTCTGTAATTAAGTATCCGGAAACTGTAGCTAAAAACGAATCCGGTAATGTTACCAGTGTAATTGAAAATGATACCGGAACCAGACAGTCCGCTGCTGAAGATGAATAAAATAACAGCGGTGAATTTTTAAAAGCTAGTTATTGTTTAAAATCTGCAAAATTTATTCGATATTAACTAAATTCACTCCTACGTTCTCTTATATTTCAATTTTTTCTTTCGGATTGTAATGAATTTAGAATTATCTAATTTATACATATTTAAATTATCAGAAAGCTGATGAATGATTCTTTAATTTAAGTTAAATTTCAACAATTTATCTTTTATTGCAATCACTTATCAGTAATGTTCTTATCAACATTTTCAAAAACATTTTAAAAAAGAAAAAAAAAGTAAAAATTTTACAAATATGATATGTTGTGTTTTTTTAGATATACTTTTGGCGAATCGATTTTGATATGGCGTAATTTGTAAAAAAAAAAGAAAAGGAAAAAAGTAATGCATTCTGGAAGATGGAAAAAAGTTTTCCAGAATTTCGTCCATCTTTTTTTTTTGCTCTTGAAATGCTGCGATCGATGGGTGAGTGATACGACAATACATTTTGAAGCGCCTCCTTTCCTTCTTATCAATTTGTTTATTGAACAGGCTTTGAAAATAATTCGACCAGTAAAACTTCGAATTTGAAAAATAGCTTTTTTTGCTTAGAAATTAGATATTAATAGTGATAAATGTATGAAGCTTGACAGATTCGAAAATAGATTTTATTTAATCCTAAAATGGTTATGGTAAAACGAAGAAAAAAAAGGAATCAAAAGAACTCAAAAAAAAAACATTTCAGTTCTAAAAATAAAGCTGTAAAAATTTAAGATAAAATATAGTTTTAAGCATTTTTTGAAATATACAACAAAAGAGAGAAAAATTTATCATTGCTTTAATTTTTTTCTTTTTTATCTTTGACTAGAAAACTAAATTTTGTGCCTCTGCCATCGAGAACAGTCTCTGATCTCGCGAGGTCTTCACGTGGAGACCTTTAGCTGTTCAACTGCCTTTTCTCTTTTCGATGAATTTCTTAAAATTTTCCAAATTTTCGATTCGAAATTGCAAAAATTTTTTCTTCCAAAAATTATCAGAATTTCAGGCATTAAAAGTGTTACATTCAGTCGTTAAAGTTGAAAAGATTTGCATTCCTTAAATTAAATAGTAAATATATGTTTGAATTAGAATTAAAATAAAAATCTTTCTATAAAATGAATTTGAATAATGCCAGTTGAACAGCAACCACACGGATATTCGCGGTGGCAAAGACACTTTTGTATAGCTCAAAATCTGTTTCCTTTTTTTTACAAAACGATTCATTTTTTTTCCGCTAACTTTCAAGTTTTTTTTTTATTTTAAAATTTCTATATTATATGAATGTTAGAAAATTGCGACAACAATTCATGTTATTAAACCTGAAGAATGATTTTTTTTTTCTACAAAATTTTTTTTAATTTTAGGATTAATTTTTAGTTGAAGTTAAAAATTGGCAATAATATTTCTTCGTATCGTACTGCATTCATTGTAATATTCTTTTTAAACAAAAAAAAGAAATTAATTAAAATTCATGTGATTACGGGGAATAAGTGAAATATGTGAATATGATTGTCCCGATTTGTGTCGAATTTTGTTTTTGTTAATCTTCTAAAAGAAAAAGATGGAATGTGGTTGCCGCATTTTTCTTTTGCTGATGTCCATAAAGAATAAATTTATTGTTCATGGTCATATTGTAATTGAATTTATATACATCGGTTTTTGTTTCTGTCCATTTATTTCTTTTTGTTGTGTAAATTTTGATAAGAAAAAGAAAAAAATGCAAATGATTTGCTCATAAGATGCTGTAATTTTGATTTAAATTTTTATCCTTTTTTTGATTCATTCTGTTTTTTAATTGAAATAATTATTGTTGATTATCAACCAGTTTTTCTTTCCCATTCTTCCTCTATGTCGCACGCTCTCGATTCTTTTATGATAATTGTTTTAATGTCTTTCATTGATTTATTCAAATTTTTTTTGTGGATTTTTGTTCTGTTACTAGCTTCATTTTTATTTTTGATTAAATTTATTTTGATTAGATGAAATGATATTGCTGACATTTTATTGTTGTGGATTCTTTTTTTTTTGTTTTATTTTGTAAATCGCTTGGATAGATATTTCACTAGAAATATATGCAATATTGTTTTTTTGTTGTTGTGAAATTGCTGTTGAAATGTGCCAATGTTATAAGCATGCGGCTTTTACACCTATTGATGACAAACTATGGTAGAGATGTTTTTTTTTTGAAGATGAATTTTATTGTGAAGTTTGCAAAAATTGAATTTTAGAAGAATAATTCATTGAATTGATAAGCTGTCATTTTTTTTGAAAGTACAATAGATAAGAAAAAAATTGGCAAATAAGTAGTTTCAAGTTTCTAATAATTATAATTTTAATATCCTTTAACCACAAATTTCAAATGGCCAAAACATGAAAAAATATAAAATTTCTTAAAATTCGACTAAGGTTCTTTTGGAGCAAGTTTAAAATTTCTTCATAATGAAAATGTTTTGCTTTTAATGGAACAGTGTGTAAGCAAAGCGTTTTCATTACAATTTCCAAAATATATTTCTTCTCTTCAAATTCTTCACTTAAAATTAAACTATTCTACCATAACCTAACATTATTCTCCTATTATTTTAAAATTGAATTATTCTTCTATTACCATTTAAAAATTAAAATCAAATAAAGAAAACAGCGAGAAAGTAAGGAAAGAAAGCATTTAAAAAATGTGAGAAATAATCAAAAAGAAAAGCATTTTACAGGAGAAACGGAAAAGAAAGACCATACAGTATAAATTTGCTCTTAACAGTTTTTAAAAGTTTTCATTGAGCGTCATCTTTTTGCGGTATAACAATAGCAATACTGTCCTTTTTACCTTTTTCTCTCCTCTCTCTCTCTCTCTCTCGCTCTCTCTGTTCATCATTATTCAAGTTTTTATATCTCATTCAAATGATTCTCATTTGTATTGATTGTCAATCCTAAACCGATCTATGATATATATATCATATATATATCATGATATATATGATATATATATGATAATTATATACAAATGTTAATTACTCAGCAGTTCAATTTTTTTTTTTGAGAAAATAGTTAATATTATTATAATTCCTTTTTTTCTCTCTTTCTTTATATCTATTCATTTTTTTTGGTTTGTTTTATTTTATTTTACAACAATTAAAATGATCTTTTCTTTCGGAATTCTTCTTAGTCACAAAATGTAATGGAATTTCATTTCAGTTCAATTTGTTGTCCTTTTCTTAATACTTTTTTTTGCGAACGCTTCTAAAGGAATATGTTTGTAAATGTAATAGCATTCATTGATATCATTTAAATGATAGGGACATTCTTCTACATTTTCACGTTATTCTATTCCGAGCATAGCAACGTCTAGTACAGTACTTTTCGTACCCGTTAACCTTCTTCAATTATCCAATTGACCCTAATTATTGTTTTCTGATCTGCTATGAAAAATGTATTATTCTTTCACATTTATTTAATATTGAGCACTTTGAAATATTACATCGTTTCCTACTCTTTAAGAGTGAAGTAATAAGTTTAAATTTTTTGAAATTTTAGCTAGTGTTGAAATTGTATACAAACATGACAAATTGTCACTAAAAGAACTCATATAATTTATTTGATTTTAACTTAAAAAACTTGAAAGATATTTATAAAAGTCTAGAAAGTTTAGAATGCAAAAATTCTATCGATTATTTATAATAATTAGGAAATGGAATGTTTGAGATAAATTTTAGTAAATTTCATGAGAATAAAAAGTGGACTTTGAACTTTCTTTAATTTTTTCCGGGCTTTTAATGATCCGTTTAATGACTCGAACTTTTGCAAAATTTAAATAAAGTCGAAGAATTTATTTGTAAGGAATGTGCAATATTTACCAGTCAACTGAGGTATGAATTTGTTGTCTACAGTTGTTGTTGTTGTTTTGGAATAATTGGAAAATTGTTTGTTTATGCTTAGATATGATAATTAAATTTCAAATGAATTGAGATTTGAGAGAGATGATAATTTGGAGATTTAGAAAGATTGAAATCCGTATATCATTCTTTCAAGTCATTTGTTGAATTTCAATTCTTTAATGACGGAGTATTTTGTATCTAAAAACCTAACGACAAATGAATTTGGACTGTATTCATAATGATACTGCCAGACTTCAGACATCTTTGGAATTTTTATCAGACTTGAAGTTAAAAAGAAATTAGCATTAACAATTCATTTTGTGACTTTTTGTAAGACTGATTTTTTTCCGGAAACTGAAAACTGTTTATACATTTGGTTATGATGTTTATGTATGTGCTTGCGCTTCATTCTGTCCAATGTGATACCATGTGTTATTCGAATTCAAATTATGATTTTTTTATCGTCATTTTAAAATCATAATTATCATCTGTGAAATTTCAGATTGTCTTTCGTAAACCTTTTTTCTAAAACATTTTTTGTTCTTTTTTTTGTCAATTGTATTACTGCAAGCATGAGATTTAATGTGCCTTGTTCGCTCATTTGTCTATTATACTTTGTTGCCTCTATCGCATTTTTATTTTCGCCACAGTAAATTTAAACTTTTTTCCCTGAGAAATTTCGAAACTTGATCACTCTCATTTATATTACTCCGATCAGATTTATAAACTTGAAGTTCATTATCATTCATTATTTTCTGTTTAATAGAGGGAGGCAATTGTTTTCAAACTTATGTTATACACAAATCTCATTTGGAGTAGAAATCCGCCACTGAATTTGTTTCATTTTTTCTCAAGAACTATATCGATATGGTGAAAAAGTTGCATCATTCTGTAATCTTCTCTGATACACAATCATTATTCTCAATCATGCAGCCTAACAATATGATAAGATAATAATATTTAATGATAAAGTCGATGATATCCATTGCAAAGCAAACATATAAGTATATTCGAATTTAAATTTTCAATTTATCCTAAGCGCTATTAAGATAATTGAGTTAGCTTTTCGCCTTTTCTTTGAAACTAAATTGTTGAATGCCTATATACGCTTTAGTGTGCCATTTATGAAATGGTGCCGATGAATCCTAAATGATATGCGTTATTATTTTGTGTGAAACATCTCATCAATACTGATTTCATTCTTGTTCTTATTGTTCATGCAAAATAAATCTCTTTTTTTCTTATTGAATAAATGTCAATTCAATTCTTATTGATTCATTCCAGGCAAAGTTTAAACGACTAAGTTTTATGAGAAGGATATAAATCACAAATGTTATTAAAACATTAAAACGCGAAATAGTACGTAAAAAAATTATGATATCAGGAACAGCGAAACTATTAATAATAATAATAATAATAATTAGTAATAATAATGATAATAATAGCAGTAGTGATAGTGACAAAAAATAATATAACAATAAAGCTTCATTTGTTCTTAAAAATCATTTGTTCCATTAGGATCAATTTCGAATTAATATTGGTTGTCTGACTGGAACAAACATGCAATATTGAAAACTGAAATATCATATATAAGAAATGTTTAGTTTGGATCAATGCATACTTTCAAATAAATCTGGCATTTGACATCGAGACAAATCAGGGTTGGAACCAACCAAATATTTGCTATCAAACAATAGTTATGATTTGTGAAGGATTTAAGAATTTCTTATTTATCAAATGATTTGATTTATCGTATTGATAAATAAATACATCTTCAATAACTATCCCTTTCTTTCACTGTTCAAATTTATTTTTTATTTTTTATCGTACAAAAAAAAGAATGAATCATTTAAGTGTTAGTGACCGCAAAAGTCCTTCATGCAGCACTGATATTTATTATATTTTGCAATTTAAAAAAAAAAAAATAAAAATAGAAATCGCAATGGTTGGATCACATTCTTTTCGACAATATGCAACAGATGGAAAGGTGTGTGTGTGTGTGTGTGTGTGTGTGTGTGTGTGTGTGTGTGTGTGTGTGTGTGTATGTGTGTCGAGAATGGTTTATAAGGTAACTGATCAATTTACATTGCAAAATGTGAGTAATAGAGAAATCGGTGTTGTTGAATTTAATGGGATAATGCTCCTCATGTCGTTATTGTTGTTGTTTATTATTCTTATTGTCAATTTTATACAAATATGCTTCAAATTAAAACAAATAAGTTCAACCGGACATGTATGTATTTTAGTATAAGACAAACACCATATTTGAAGCAAAATTTCCGTTAGCTATTAATCTTTTTTTTGTAGCTAAAAGAAATCGTATTTTTTTACCAAAAATCAGCTTTTGAAATTTATCTGATTAGCTCTTCTACGGCTCAAACAAATCACAGTCCAGTTTTTGAAATGATAACAAATCATTCGTACAAAAGTAAACCTCGAGAAATTAAAAAAAAAAATTTAATGTAATCAATTAATCCAATGACATATTAATTATAATATCTCCAAAGATTTTATCAACAATGTGAACTGGATTTGAAATTTGGTTGTGCCTGAAAGAAATTCATGATAGCATCTATTGAGTCGCTTCGTTTAATTCATCTAATAATTAAATGGCTGATTTTTTTTAAGGTTTTATTTAAGATTTTATTTTTACGGTTTATTTCAGTGATAATTTTGCTTCGCCGAATGTCATTCAATTTCTTTATCATGCACAGTTTTTTTATGCTTCTGTTTATATTTTGAAATTAAAGTAAACACAGAATGTGACTAATATAATCATAGAAAAGTAATGCAATCATTTTGTCAATTATATCCATAATATTTACCCCCCTTTTAGAAATTTTATAAAATAACTGCTCGGCCATATGTCCACGCAGACTTTACAGGCGCGTTTTAGTCCCAGCAGTGACTATGTGCTGAATTTCCCAAATAAACAATGCCCCTTACCTCATGACATCGAAATGGCATTGCAGAATCAGTTGTAATTACTGATAACTTAAACTATTGAACCTTTTCAAGATATTGACTTCAGCGATATTTGAACATTTCACGACACTGAGAAATAATAATCTTCTGTATATAGGTGGAATACGATTTGAAAAACCGTACAATCAGCAAACAGCAAATAGCCTCATCAGTTTTTTCAACTCGATAGTTCAATTTCAATATTTTAAGTCATAAGGACCAGATTTCTCAACTATCACAATTCTTATTTATATCATACTTGCATACAACATATTCTTCCTCATAATTGATGCTTGACGTTGCAGATTATTCAGTAGGAAAGTTTCACAGTGCTCTGATAAATGCAAATTGTTTATTCTTCATCAAATAAAGTGACATAAAAATTTATTCTGGTAATACACTGGGCGCTGTCTTGAGTACTGCTTGACCCTGATATTTCCATATTTCAATGAATCAATTATTCAGGCTTTGCTAGGAAGCATTTGAAAAATTTTTAATCGGACATGCGAGTTCATTAACTAAATCATTGAAGTATTAACTGAATGCTCTCCGAACTTCTTCGAATTTGCTGATTTCAACAATTTTTACCATCTCTTCTTTCTCACCACCAACTGCAACAACACTTCCAGAGTCCGGTGAAAAACGACATATGTGAAGACCTCCAAGATTCACATTATGCTCTGTAATAAGCTCCAGATCACTGCTGTCTTCTGGCAAGCGCCAAACTTTTAAGAGCTGAAAATTAGAAAATTATTACATGTGTAAAGATATTACAAATAATCTGATAAGGGGTATGAAAAAAAAGAAAAATTGCAATATATCTTTAACAAATTCTATGAAAACACTACATTAAAATTTTGTATAGATCAGATATTAAACAAGGGTTGCGCTTCGGTATGGACCAAACCAATTTCTGTCGGACAATAGTATTCAGTTAGTATGCAGAGCGTTGAACATCAAAAAAGATTTCCGTTTCCTGTAAAATGATTACTAACAGCTATCAAAAAATTACCCCATCTTCACCACATGTGGATAATAAGCCCTTAGTATAATAACTTTGCACCACGCTACGAGCACCTCCGTTGTGTACTTCTTTCGATATAACAGGTTTATTTTTACGTGTATCCATGTGATAGAAATGGCCTGAAAGAGAAATGTAACCATATTTACAATAACAACAAAAGCAGAACCATTTAATGGCTCTACATGAGAGCTAGTAATTATTATTTGTTCAGCTATTTCATTATCAGTAATGTATTATACCTATTAATGGGTAGTTTTGATTCCAAGGTAAAATATATATAAAGTGTAAACAACACAGTTAGTACCTAAAAATAAAAGAAAAAAAATTTGCAGGTAAAATTAACCATTGTCAGTGACGACAAAGAAATAAAATGGAGAGAAATGATTCCATGTAAGCCGTTCCACTTCACCACTTACTTCCCACTGCCTTGATAAATTGTCAAATTTCCTACAATCTGTTAATCCGACTTGACTTGATAACGTTCCTGTTAAAAGGATAGGTGATTCCGCTGGATGCCATTCCATTGCTTGCACCTTAAATTTCATGATTACAAGCAATGGAAAAAATGTAAGCAACAACCATTAATCGTCAAAGCAACAAGTCTGACGAGACAGATGCCCACTTTACGGAAATACACATACAAAAAATGCTCATTAAGAAAAAAAAATTTCATAAACAAGAATAAAAATCAAAGCTTTGAACTACCATTCCATCGAAATGTGTTGCAATTGTCTCAGGTTTCGTTTCTTCAAGATCCCATAAAATCACAGAATTATCAGCGCCTCCAGATGCTAGAACATGTTCTGTTAAGCGATTCCATGCTAAGGAAAGTACAGCACCAGAATGTTTTTGTGCACTGCCATCACGCTTTTGCCGTTTTCTAAAATGTATCAACAATATGTTTTAATTTTTAATATTTGACTAAATTTAACATATGTGAGACGATCCATTCCATAGATTTTCAAAAATCATTCAGAAAACCAAAAAAAAACCTTTTTGAAGTCTTTGTTTTGCCAAGAGTTACCGTCGGTTCCACTGAGTTTACCAGATCCAAATCCCAGATACCTATTGATCCATCAATCCCGCCAACAGCTAACAGATTGCCTTTTTTATCATCGTTTCCTGGGTCAAAATATATCGATTCCAAACATAAGGGAGGCACATCCAAAATATAATCGTGGTGAACATACCAATCATTATCTGCCTCGTTGTATAAGTATACTTCCAATGTATATTCATTCTTGAAAAAAAGACAAGATGATTGAAAGAAATAGAACTTCAGATGTTTCTGTTTATTTGAAAACAGTTAAACCAAGCCTTGAAATAAAATGGAATTGTTCCAAACCTTATAAACTTTCGCAACTGCAACAAGATTATCATCAGATTTAATTTCAAAGTCTTCTTGGTCTTCTTCATCACTATTCACATAAGTTGTTATGTGAGGGTCTTCCATAGGCGATGCAAATGTTGTTATCCCAGCCAATGGATTAGACCTGAATTTTTGTTTAGATCAACAATGAAACAAAAAGTTATTTTTTTATGATATAATGTCGCTATGAAAAGATAGCATGCCACTAACGCTAAGAATATTTCATTTGAATTTCTTGCTTTAATTTAATTTTGATCAGCAGATATATGGTTCGATGTTTCTTATGAGAATGGTTTCAAGGTTTTCAGAGCCGTTACCTAATAAAAAGACAAACTTCCAAATACACACCTTTCATTATCACTTTCATCGTATTGATCCAATTTATACTTGTCAGTATCCATCCCTTCGTCCACTACATCAGGACTTGAACCACGGATACCTCTCTGAAAAGAAGCAAATAACATTTTATTTGAATAAAAAATGTATTTGAATAAAAAGTTTTCTACCAGATCAATAGATGAATGAATAAATAAATAGAATCGGAAAAATGAAAAAAAAAAGTACTTGTTGCGTTTCATCACCAGTTATAGCATCTGTATCGGATACTTCACTAGTTTCCGGTTCACCCTCTGAAAATCATTCATTTATCATTCTGAGAATTTAATCTAAAATCTGAGAATATCATTTGACCTATCCGCTCACAAAAGCTGCAATGATCACAACTAAGAAATGGAAATAGGCAAATAATCAAGTATGGATCTTTGTTCTCTTGAATTTAGAAATGTTTCGACATCACGCAACAAACCAAAATCATCATCAAAGAAAAAATGTAAATCTATAAAGCCACAATTAATTAGCAAATCTTTTAAAATCTTAAAACCTTGAATCAATGTTCTGATTTCTTCTGACGACAACTTCACCTTATCCGGTACGGCTTTCGGTACTCCACGTTTTATCCAAACTAAGTCTGCTATCAATGACATTCTTAACAGCTAAAATAGATTTTTAAAAAAGTGACACCATACTTCCATAAAGAGTATCAAATCTTTTTGACAACCACTTTGATAAATCAGTCATCAAAATGTTCCGAGCAATGCAATCCGTTTCTCTTGTCCTCTTCCTATCGCTCTCTTTTCATTATTCTCGGGTTATTCTCCATCCACAACTTCATAAACCCCATAACTCTCCCCTCCCGATAGCTGCAAACTGAAACTCTGCCACTAACCAACAGTGTGCAAGAATTCATTTCAAGACCATAAAGCGGAATAAATTATGAAAGCATCAAATTGTTCGGATGCTAACAGGAATGTTCCTATCAGTTTGGTTATTATCAGTCTGGAGGACGTTTGTAATTACGATAAGTATAACTAATTATTGACCTTCCAGTGACATCAATTCATTGCATCAATGTTTTATCAGTAGCAGTTTCTTGCTGACCTTAAAGATCAAATAAGATGGCAACTCCACGATAAAATGAAATCGCAGAAAAGTTTGCATAAATTTTCTTCTCACAGAAGTTTCATACAAAATTGAGGAAATTCTTCACGGTGAATTATGATAAGTAAGAAAGGAAAATTGTTAACTAACGAATAGGCTGAAAAGAATGTGTTGCTGCTTTAACCTTATCAAATGTTATCATTGCTGAGATGACATGACTGACCGAACCATTTCACTTATATTTTATTTCATAACGTTATCACAGGTGACTTTCATCTAATACTCTCTATGGCTTATCTGATAACAGTTTGTTTATCTGTGACAAGTTCTTGAAAAATACACATTCTTGAAAACATTTTTGAACGTCCAATGCACTTTAAAAATTTCTTGTAAAAAAATTGAGTTTTATGATTGCAAATATCAATGTATTCAATTGTTTTTCCTCCATGTTATCCAATTATTGTGCTTTCTTTTCGGGCTAAAAATAGAAAGTAAATGAAGTGCGAATGTTTCCAATTGAATAATAAAATAAGCTAAAAATCTTAGTAGAAATTTTTCTTTTTTTTTTTAAATTGTTTATGGAAAATTTAAAAAGTTTTGGATAAATCTATCAGATGCTTCACAATGTCTATGCAATTTTACTTACGTCATTCCAAGTAGTCAGTGAAATGTTCTCTCAGAATACCATAAAAATATCCGAATACGAAAAAAAGTATGTAAGGACAATTTTAATAGAATTTAAAAGAAGAAACCGGAAGTGATGGTTGTGGTTGTGGTGGTGGTGGTGGAGCATAACTTCCAGCATCCGGTAAATTCGATAAACGAATAATCTCATAGATGACATATCCGATGATCAACAACTGCAACATATCTTCATCCGATGGATACGACCAATAACTGATGGAAAATATGTGTGCAATAAGGAATGAATACATTGTGATCATTTTAAAAATTACATTTTGCATACGCAAAAATTTTTCCCTCATTCTGTCCTACATCATTTCTGATTGGTTGATTTTTATGGATGGAATGAAATTGAAAAAGAAAGTGAAAGAAGCAAATTTACATATAGTTCTTTCGATATGTGTCAATCAATCTGGAAGCAAGAAATGATACGATCATGTTCAGCATCCCGAAATTTTTCTCACTGACAAACATGAATCAACTTCTGGCAGCTTTTGAATTTAGAGCTTTTATTTACTCAAAGTAGACTTCCCCGGGAGAAATTAGCGAAATTTTTAAAGAAATTAGGATATTTTAAGTTTGGATTATCAGTTTCTGCTCTAATGTTTTGATTGATTTTTAAATAAGAAATTTTATCATGCTTATCGATAATGTGATGTTAAAAGAATTTTTTTGATGAAATTTATTGAGAAGAAAACTTTTTCTCGAATTGCTTTTTTCAATCATTTGCCGCGATAAATGACTGCTAATCAACGCCCAATAAATTAACATTCTTGAGAGAGGAATGAAAGATAGAAAAGATTGAAATGAACAAGATAAAAAAGTACCAAATTTAGAGCTCCAATGCTCAACTTGATGAATGTTAATTTAATGAATTTAGCTTTCAGGTTGACTGATCATCGTTTTATCAACTCTTTTGTTTAATATGCTCTTCTCAGCACTCAATTAAACCAATTTTCAAAGAAATTATTGTCATTATATAATCCATTAAAAATTTACAAAACAATTAAAATAATTTCTTTTATCTCGAAATCCTAAATTATTGTTACACGAAAACATGTTTGGATCATAAATTCAAAAAATGTCCCGATACAAAACAAGAATATTTAACAAATAAATTTGAAAATTACTCCATGAGGTATATTTTGAAAATATCCCATTATTTTTTATTTTAAATTCTTCCATGCCGACTTTTTCCATTTTGCTATAAATTTATGCATTGAAAAATTTGAACTACTACTTTGAATTTCAAGAAAAAATTGTATTTCAAATGCTGTAATTAATATTTTGAAAATATGTTTAGAAATACTATAATTTTTTAATATGTTTCAAGCAATTTCTGACAAATTATTCATACTGAAATAATGGGAATGAGAATGATGAAGATGATAATAGTGATATATCGTTAAAGCAAATTATTACAGTGTGGAAAAATAGGATAATTGTTATTGGATATACGTGACACCAGTTTATTTGTCCCAGAAAGAAGATAGCAAAATGAGGAGAGATATACAAATATCGTTTAATTTCAGATATCTCCTATTGAACTGATAACTATACTTCTTTGTCTTTGCTATTCAAGAAGGAAAATATCACTTCTCGATCAGTCTTCGGGAAAAAAATAGTGCACACCTTTGCAGCGATATTCAAAAAACTTGCCCAAAACAAAAGGATTGAAATTCATCTTATTAAATGCTTCAACTATTCACATATTCGATTTTAAAATCTAAACTTTAACATTTCTGAAAGCAAAAACCATTTAGATGATCCTTATTTAAACGACTGAAAAAAAAGTTTGAACGATTGACGATAATACTCGTTTTTCGAAAATATTATTTTTATATCTTGCATTAAATGGAAAAGAAATATATATTTCTTTTTTTGAAAAATTTTCAAATTATAACCTTTTGTTTTAATTTTGCAATTTCAATTCATAACACATCAATTTTTTTTTGCAAAAAAAAAACGGGGAAAGAAATTGTCCGTGAACTCTCGGATGTATACTTTTTCATCTCTTTGCTGATTGAATCTCTGATAGTTAGACCAGTTCTGCACATCTTTTTTTTCAAATTCTTGAATATGTCTTACTTATTCATTTATTGCATGTAGTCGTGTTACGTGATGATTGTAACAATGCTTTATCATTTCAATGAATAATCCTCAAAGTCATTACCAATTTTGTTTACTTTTACTGTCATCTTTAAATTACACTTTTTATAGTGATATTACATGCGAAATTTTGATGAAATGCAATTTGTTAATAATTAATAAAGGTTAAGCAGTGTATCACAGAAATGTTCAATTTCTTTTTTTTTTTTAAATTTATCTCACTGATGTGTTACTCAATTTAAATGTCATATACTTTATGCATATCTTTTAAAACTTTGTTTCTTTTTCCCTCTCTCTTTCTCTCTCCCTCCTTCTCTATCTTTTTTGACCAACTTATATTGAGAGTTTCTTTTTTGAGTATTTCTTATCGAGATTTGCAATCATTTTGCTCAAATTCTTATATTAATCGTTAAGTTTTCTACACATATATAAAGAAATTGTTCAATTTTAAACAGTTATTGAATATGAATATCTCTTTTCAATTAACCGGTTATGATCCTTTTTTCAATGTTTCCATTATTTCTTAACTATTTTTTCAGTAAATAATGTGCTCTTAATTAGCATCGTATTATTGTTAGATTTGCTTTATTTCAATTTAAATCATAATATACGTTTATATTTCTAATCTTATATTTGAAATCTGATATTAAGACATGATTTGTAAAAGGAAAACAAAAAAAACGACTGATGAATGTTAAAGAATTGAAAACTTTTATTCTGTCCAAATTCAGTTTTAATATTATGCATTTCTTAGAAATTACTAGAAAAAGAAAACTTGCATGAATGCTATTTTTATCACTTCTTAAATTAATTTAAGCTAATGGATTATTACTTCCAGAGGTCAAAACGAATCAAATTGGAGTTGTTGAAAAAAAATTTCCGCAACATTTTGAAAAATTTTATGTGATATGAATAATAAACGGCAATGGCTTTTTATTGCTATTATAACAACTGTTAATAAAATAATTCATATTGAAGCACAACCGTTTGTCGGAGGTACCTCAATTTTTGGAATTTATTTTAATGTTATTAAAAAAACACTCTTACAAAACTTCAAATAAGCTGAAAAGTCAGTGAACAAAGATAAAACTGTGATAAGTAATCATATCTGCTCCCATCACCATCTATTTAGTGATAATATAATTCTTTTTATGTCTTGCACTTCTGTAAAATACTTTTCTTTGCAGCACGGTGCAATCCTTACAATACAGTATCTGGATCAAGAAAATTACTTGAAAAGAATCTATCACCTTGCTATTTATCACCAATGAAAAATGTTTGCTATTTTCTACTTTCTTCTTTCATCATTTTCGAAATTCAAATTTCAGCTATGAATTTCTAATAAATCATATTTTCAGGTTCGATCTCATACATTACTTTTGCGACATCAAATACGCTTAGTGCCATCATCAACAATGCTTCATTGGCGACAAAAATCCTATATTGAAAAGCCAGCGGTGAAAAAGGTTAGTTAGCTTTTGTCAAAAAAGATTACATGAAGCACAATTGTCAGGTTAATTATCGAATAAATTTAACTTGACCAATTAAATCTAATCATTTTCTTAGGTTAATTTCAGGCAAAACCAATGTTTTAAGCTTAATTTATCTAGAGGAAATTATGGCATTATCGAATGGAATTTTTTTCTCAATTAACAATTTTTGCTCTTTAAAATTAACTATTCAAAGATTTGAAAATACGATAATATATTAACTTGAAGCTATGTCTGAATCCAACTTACCATCTTATTAACTCCTCTAATAACTCAGACGAGTTATCAGGATGGTAGGTTGGAAATCTGTTAAAAGAGATTTTAACTCTAATTAATACAGTTATTCAAATTTGAGTTTATTGCCGAAATGACAGCACATACGACACGATACAATGATCCAAACGAAGGCTATGACAAAGTTTTATTATTAATGCAACAGTATTTTACTCAGAAGGACCCAAAACATCGTCCTTACGTCAGTACTGTCAATTTAAATTTATTTTGATAAAGTTTTTGAAACGAAATTTAATATTTTTTGGCTTCATTTCTGTTATATGAAATTAAAGAAAAAAAAACTTTCAAGTTTTCAACGAACAAATTTGTCATGAGCAACCATTTTTCCAGTAATTTGTTGTAAAATTTAGTTTTGATTGTAAAATGAAGAAATAATGCTGCATAGTCCATAACGCGCAATTGTAAATATCTCTTGCAATTATTCGGAACAAGTTTTACAGAAGATAATTAAATGATTTCCAACTTTCCATCTGCAGTACACTAATTTGAGATTGCAAGAATTTTTAAATCAGAAAATACAGGGAATTGATTAAGTGATTGCGGGAATTCATTATAATATGACAGTACCCTAACTAACTAAAGTAATTCGATCCGGAAGATGAAAATAGATGAATGTAATTGTTATATTAAAGTTTACTAAATTTATAATTACGAAATGTTGATCATTTTTAGGTCTATTTTTTTGTCTAATTATCATCGCTTCAAGGAAATTATCAAAAAGTATGAGTTCAGGATGGTACAATGATACGGCCATCAGTAAATCCGAGAATGCGTAACGAAATGAGACGTAATGTACGAATTGCCGGACTTCTGTTCGAGAATGATATTGCATTAGTTTTATCACAAATGAAAATGTTACAAATGTTGAAGGAACATCGTGGAAAACGAAAAATAATCTCTGATCCAAGCTTTTATTGGAGAAATTCATCCATTGCATTTCGTTTTGGTGATAATGATAGTTCGTCCATTTCATCTTATTCCATTTTCTTAATTATTTTTTTTAGTAATTAAATGTTAAAATTTACTTTCAATTTATTTTTCGTGATATAATTTAGAAGTAATTAATGCTAAATATGCAAATTTCAACTATCGCATATCATTTGTTTTTCCGTATTTTTAAGGAGATTGGCAAGATAACATTCGTAAAGCGCTTCGTTATTGGGAGCAAGAAACATGCTTACATTTTGAGGAAAATAAACTTGCTAATGATTATTTATTTTTTATTATTGGAAGTGGGTAAGCTTTTTTTGCGTTAAACCTTTCTTTTTAATTTGTACAATTTCATTTAATTATCTTGCCCTATTTTGTAAATTAGTTTTATTAAATTGCTAAAAAATTGATTGCATTTGATGGAGGAAGCAACAAATATTGCAACATAGACTATCAGCAATTTACATAATGAGTATGATAAAATATATTACCGGAAAGTTATTGCTCCTGATTAACTAAACCAGAATGAAACAATCCGAAATTTCAATTTTGCTACCAAGCAGATTAGATAGATGAATTTGTTAGCCTAGTATCATCGACTTTCTTCAGTGAATTCATAACGAGCAAAAAGATTCATATTTATTATTGAGAAGGTAATTTTCAAAAAATACATGGTAATTTTAACTGCTTTAAATAGCTTTGAAATTTTTATTTTCATAAATTTTGCTTTTCATTTTTAATTTTACTGCTCTAAATTGCTAAAAAGCAATAAAGTTGAAAGAAAATAATTTAAAAATTTTTTTCATTTTAATTAAAAAAGCTGATTATCATTTTCAGATGTTACTCGAGTGTTGGAAGATTAGGCGGTAGCCAAACAATTTCTATTGGCTATGGTTGTGAAACTGTTAGTCTTTTAATATATTTATTTTTAAAATGATTTTTTCTCTTTAATTATTATAGGCAAATTTTAATGAATTTCTTTTTGAAGCTTGGGATTATTTCACATGAACTTGGCCATGCATTGGGATTTTGGCATGAACAAGAGAGACCGGAGCGTGATAATTATGTTCATATCAATCTACAAAATGCACTTAGTGGAACTGAAGGAAATTTTGAGAAGCGTAATCCGTCACAGCTGATCAATTTGGGTGTTCCGTATGATCTCGGATCCGTGATGCATTATTCCACTAATGTATGTTTGATTTTATTGATCATGCTATTGATGCGCAAATTGAACAGTTTTGCTAAATGTTAGTATTAGTATTCGAATTAAAAATTTATTGATTTTATCAGAGCAAAATTTCAATTTAGAAGAAAAAATGAACTTTTTACACAGACGTAAATTTTTACTTTGCCGGAAACAATAACAAATCATTTTGATAAGAATTTCAAAAATTTAACATTTCTCAATCAATAAATGAATGCAATTAAATGTTTTGCTGTTTTAGCGAAAAAAAATAAACAATAACGCTAAACTTTCTAAACAGAATTAATTTGAGAAACATTTTAATAATTTACAATTCACTGTTTATGTCACGAAATTTTTTGTGAAAATTTTTGACTAACTGTTTTACGCCGAAATGATTTTATTAAAGATAAAAAAAGAAAAATTGTCCATAATGTAAACAGCATTTATCAGACATTCGCAAAACGATTTATGGACTTGACGGTGGATCCGATAGATACGAAATATCGTTCAACAGTTGGCAATCGTGTAGCACCATCATTCACCGATTTCAAACAAATTAATTTACTTTATTGTTTTGGTAGACGATTTAATTATTATTAAAATTTCAATGTAATTGTTCTTAATGTCTATCTTCCTCTTTTGGCACTTTTTTTATTTGATTGATTGCATGACAAAGTTACAGGTAAAATATGTTATGCTTAATTATAAACGTTATTCAAAATGATAAGGCTAAATAATCTAGCTAATTTAAGTTCACAGTTAGGGATTTAAGCTCACATCACCTTTGAATATAGAAAATTTTCTTCAAAATCTATTAAATCACTCAATTCGCAAAAATTGAGATTTAATAAATATTGCTCTTTGAAACTCTGTTTCAAATCGAAATAAAAAAAATTATGCAAAAAGAACGGGATGATGAAATGAGTTAAATTAGATAAATGTCGGAAAACAAATTTACGATGTCGCAATGGTGGTTATCCGAATCCGAACAATTGTAATACCTGCAAGTGTCCGGAAGGCCTTGGTGGTCGAGAGTGCACTGATTTGCAGTATTCTCGTGAGTGAATTTTATTTAGAAGTAATTTTATGATATTTTTGATAAAATGATGAAAGGGACGTCAGAAACAGTCATTAGTAAGAGATCAGAAAATTATAAATTGCATTAAATTTCGAGCTGCCCGACAATAAATTGATATGAAAGAAGAAAAGTAAAAATTCAGCAGAAATATTTTCACTAAATCAAATTGTTTATAACCAATTTATTATAAGATTTTGAAATTTACAAAAAAAAAAAGTAAAAGAATTCTGAAAAAATTCGGTTTAGGAATTTTTGCATGCTTTAAGAAAATCCAAAAAATTTCATAAGCTTTCAGTGAATTTTAAGAAATTGTCTAAATTTTATGGATATTATATAAAATTCTTAAATTAATCAATAAAAGCAAATTTTTTTTTTGTTTAAGCATGTGGTTATGAACAGTTGGCCAGTAACGAATGGCAGACATTAGAATATTCTGGCTCATCCAACTGTTATTGGAGAATTTCCTCGGTTAATTTTATAACAGTTAAAAAATGAAATTAAATGAATAAAATTTCACAACTCAATGTTATAAGAATTTTTCAGGAAATTAATCCTGAACCGTATTCGGCATATATTTTTTTCACCAACAAAAATAACATTAGCACTGAATGTTTCAGAACAATAATAGTCGTCTTAGACAAAATTTTTGTCCTGTTTTTTGATAAAATTAAATATTTTGTCTAAATTTGTTAAATCAATCCGGAATTTGTACTTACAAATTATCAAAAATATTTATAAAAACATGTTTGTATTACGGATTAAAGTTGTCCGCGAAAAATTTTATGAAAGATATTCAAGTTCATTATTTTTTCAATGTCCGTGATTTTCTTATTGTTTCTTAGTGTATTCGAAATACTAAATCTACTAAAATTTCATTTGAATCTTTTACATGTCTGAAATATAGCATTAGATTTATTGCGCAAAATATAGAAATATAAATTTATGCAAATTAATTTGTGCCTTAGATTTTTAAAAAATCAGATGCAACAGATAAAGTCATATTCTGTTTTTTAGCTAGTAATTCAAAAAAAAAGCTGTTATACCAGAAATGAGATATTACCCTTAAAGGTATTATACTTGAAGAAAATTGATAACTTGTATTTTTCACACAAAAATTTGAATTTCAGCGAAATGGTCGTATTCGTTTTGAGCTTACAGAAGCACACTACAAGTGTGATCCGGTATGTGAGGAATATGTAGAAGTGAAGCATAAATTTGACTTTCAAGTTTCCGGATTTCGTTCTTGTTGTTTACCGGTCACAGGTGAAACTGTTTCTGATGGCAAAATGCTAATTGTTATATCACGCGCTTCCAGAACTTCACGTTTCATTCTTCGATTTATTAATGGCTGGTTCTTTTTTCTTCTTATATTAAAGATTTTTTGCAACATTTATTTTCCAATCGAATTACAATAAATATTGATTTTAACAAAAAATATTATTGTTTGAAATTGAAAATTATTTTTTACCTGTATAGTAACTTACTATATTATAGTTAGTCTGAACAAAATTATAAATTCAAAGCAAAAATTTTTTCTGAATTTTTTCTAAGCATTTCAAAATTTGAAATTACCATTCGCAAAATAATAAGCCAATTAGCTGTTTAAAATATTTTCAAGTTCAAGTATCGTTAAAATTTTTTTTTACATTTAGATCTTTTTTTTTTATAGATCAACCAAGAATATTACAACCATTGACACCAATATATTCAACAACATCTCAAATGAAAATTAATTCTACTCAACAGTGTCAATGTCCAATGAAACAAATTATCTTTGTTACATGTAAATGTAGGAGACTTTATAATTGCAAATATTTAATAAGATGTCGAAGCAAAAATAAGTTTCAGTTAAATTCAAATCGTTTTACGCAACGTTGTATAAATGCACAACCATCTGTAAAATCCTCCAATTATAGAAGATC